TGGGTTCGGCTGGATTTGAACCGGACCTCTTGCACCCTAAGCGAGAATCATACCCCTAGACCACCGAACCGCAATATCTGCTTGATTTTAGTAAACATCTATTTCTTTTTCCTACAAATATTTTCGTGCAACTATCGTTGTCGCGTGTCACGATAACGCGGTCTTTTGAGCAAGTGATTCGCAGCACGACAAACCACTTTCAGACTTTGTCATTAGTTATTCCGTTTAGTTTGTTCCGAAGAAGTTAAGATAAACACGATTCATATAAAACGAAAGGAAAACTAGAGATTCATAAGAGAACTCTGTAAATTCTTTTTGAGTGTGTTCCATTGGACGGCATTTTGAAAGTCATGACGAACGTGCATCCCTGTCAAGGAATTCCTAACAGAAAGAAACCAGTGCCTTTGCAGGCACCGACGAGATTCGAACTCGTGATCTCCTGTTTACTAGACAGGCGCTTTAACCAACTAAGCCACGGCGCCGGACGCTGGGAGAAAGTGGTCGCTCAAAAATTGGCCAAAGGTCACCATGGGAGAGAGACGTCACTTGACACTAATGGGGGACTAATACAGACTTGCCTCAAAGGGGCTTAGTCCAGTCATGCCTAATGTAAATTCTGTCTCGTAAAAATTATAAAATTAAGTGTATCTGGGTTATTTTTCAATGGAGTCACAGTCACATGACAAACGTAACTGGGCATGTAATTTAATGCTGTGTTGTGACATCAGGCCCTACTTCCTATAGTAAAATGCGCAGTGAATGCCAAAATGAAAATAGCGCAGCACTCTTGCCCAGTGTATTATGACCATGAATTGTCTCACTGCAATAGATAAAACAAAGGAGAAAATCATGATAATTTAAAGCATTTCAGAATGATTTATCGAGTAATTGTATTAAATGAATTTTTTTTAAAAGTTCGCTAGTTAATGCTTCATTTACTTGTTTTACAATTATGCAAATGTAAACACTTAGAATCGCGAAATATAACTTTTCTTTTTGTTATATTCAGAAGAAAACTGGCCACAAATGATAAAATTGATCTATATCGCATGAAATATGCAGAAATATCTAATGCGATTTTAAGTATTCTTCCTATATTCACAGGTAAATTTACATAGCTATTTACCTAAAACTTAATTATTAACTAAACATTTATTAATAATTAAATAATTACCCTTACGTTTAAATTAGTTGAAATATTGGCGAGTTACTTCAGAATTTTATTAAAATACTCTTTGAAATCCTTTTATTTATTAAAGACGCCAGAAGTGAAATCAATTTATGCTCACATAAATACATGCCAAATGCATTTTAGAACCCATTGTGCCTATTACGGAAGGGAATGTGACATTATTTGATAACGTGCAGTTGCATGTGATGCGTAGTTAGGTTTATCATGTAACTGGTAATTCCATTTACTGTATTGAATTGAAATCGTCAAGTGTCGTTTCATAAGTTAGAACATTGAAATCAAAAATATACACGTCGGGTTCGGCCGGGATTTGAACCCGGGACCTCTCGCACCCTAAGCGAGAATCATACCCCTAGACCACCGAACCGCATATCTGCTTGATTTTAGTAAACATCTATTTCTTTTTCCTACAAATATTTTCGTGCAACTATCGTTGTCGCGTGTCACGATAATCCGCGGTCTTTTGAGCAAGTGATTCGCAGCACGACAAACCACTTTCAGACTTTGTCATTAGTTATTCCGTTTAGTTGTGTTCCGAAGAAGTTAAAGATAAACACGATTCATATAAAACGAAAAGAAAAACTAGAAGATTCATAAGAGAACTCTGTGTAAATTCTTTTTTGAGTGTGTTCCATTGGACGGCATTTTGAAAGTCACGACGAACGTGCATCCCTGAATTCAAGGAACCTACACCAAAAGAAAGAAAACCGCCTTTGCAGGCACCGACGAGATTCGAACTCGTGATCTCCTGTTTACTAGACAGGCGCTTTAACCAACTAAGCCACGGCGCCGGACGCTGGGAGAAAGTGGTCGCTCAACAATTGGCCAAAGGTCACCATGGGAGAAAGACGTCACTTGACACTAATGGGGGACTAATACAGACGTGCCTCAAAGGGGCTTAGTAGAGTCATGCCTAACGTAAATTCTGTCTCGTAAAAATTATAAAATTAAGTGTATCTGGGTTGTTTTTCAATGGAGTCACAGTCACATGACAAACGTAACTGGGCATGTCATTTCATGCTGTGTTGTGACATCAGGCCCTACTTCCTATAGTAAAATGCGCAGTGAATGCCAAAATGAAATTAGCGCAGCACTCTTGCCCAGTGTATTATGACCATGAATTGTCTCACTGCAATAGATAAAACAAAGGAGAAAATCATGATAATTTAAAGCATTTCAGAATGATTTATCGAGTAATTGTATTAAATGAATTTTTTTTAAAAGTTCGCTAGTTAATGCTTCATTTACTTGTTTTACAATTATGCATACGTAAACACTTAGAATCGCGAAATATAACTTTTCTTTTTGTTATATTCAGAAGAAAACTGGCCACAAATGATAAAATTGATCTATATCGCAAGAAATAATTAGAAACTTCTAATGCGATTTTAAGTGTTCTTCCTTTATTCACAGGTAAATTTACATAGCTATTTACCTAAAACTTAATAATTAACTTAACTCTTATTAATAATTAAATAATTACCCTTACGTTTAAATTAGTTGAAATATTGGCGAGTTACTTCAGAATTTTATTAAAATACTCTTTGAAATCCTTTTATTTATTAAAGACGCCAGCTGTGAAATCAATTTATCTTCACATAAATACATGCCAAATGCATTTTAGAATCGATTGTGACTTTCTTAATACGGTGAAATCGTGATGTTATTTGATAACTGCAGTTGCATGTGGATCGTTAGTTTATATGTAACTGGTAATTCCATTTATTTTCATTGAATTGAAATCGTCAAGTGTCGTTTCATAAGAACATTGAAGTCAAAAATATACACGTCGGGTTCGTGGCTCGGAGTTTGAACTCGATCTCGCACCCTAAGCGAGAATCGACCTTGCTCACCGAACCTGCATATCTCTATGATTTTTACTGGTATTACTGCTTTTCCTACAAATATTTTCGTGCGAACTATCGTTGTCGCGTCACGATAATCCGCGTCTTTTGAGCAACTGATCTGCAGCACGACAAACCACTTTTCTAGACTTTGTCATTATTATTCGTTTAGTTAGCACGAAGAAAGATATAAACACGATTCATATAAAACGAAAGGAAAAACCAGTGATTCTTAAGAGAACTCTGTGTAAATTCTTTTGATTCCAGTTGACGGCATTTTAAAGCCAGACGAACGTGCATCCCTGGAATTCAAGAACCACACCAAAAGAAAGAAAACCGCCTTTGCAGGCACCGAGAGATCTGAACTTCAGATTCCTGTTTACTAGACAGGCGCTGCTTTAATCAATACCAAGCCACGGCGCCGACGCGGACAAAAGTGGTCGCCTTCAACAATTACTGGCCAAGTCACCATTGGAGAGAAGCGTCACTTGACAATTAATGGGACTAATACAGACAGAAGCCCTAGGGCTAATAGTAGAGTCATGCCTAATGTAAATATTGTGTCGCAAAATTATAAAATAGGCGTATCTGGCGTTGTATTCTTCATGTTGAGTCCGTCACATGACAAACGTAACTGGAGTCATTAAATATCGCAGTGTGCATCAGGCCCTACTTCCTCCAGTAAAATGCGGCAGTGAATGCCAAAATGAATAGCAGCTACTCTTGCCCAGTGTATTGAGACAAGTGAATTGTCTCACGCTAATAGATAAAACAGAGGAAAGAAAACTCATTATATCTTAAAGCATTTCTTGAATGATTTATCCGAGTAATTGTATTAAATGAATTTTTTAAAAGTTCGCTAATAATGTTTGCATTTACTTGCTCTTCACAATTATGATACATAAACATTTAGAACAAGTGAAATCATAACTCTTTTCTTTTATTATAACTCAGAAGAAAACTGACCACAAATGATAAATATATATCGCATGAAATATGTAAAACTTTCTAATGATTTTAAGTATTCTTCCCATATTCACTTTTAGGTAAATTCAAGATATTTACCTAAAACTTTAATATATTAACTTTATTAATAATTAAATAATTACCCTTACGTTTAAATTTGAAATATTGGATAAGGTATTCTGTGCATTGTTATTAAAATATTCCTTTGAAATCCTTTTTATATTATTAAAGATCAGCTAGGAACTAATTTATGCTGCAATAAATACATGCCAAAGTGCATTTTAGAACCCATTGTGTATTATGGATAGAATGGATTATTTTGAAACGCAGTTGCATGTGATGGTAGTTAGGTTTATATGTAACTGGTAATTCCGGCTTTACTCATAATCTGAAATCAGTGTCATGCCTAAGGTTAGAACATTGAAGTCAAAAATATACACGTTCGTTCGCTTGCCGGGATTGAACTGCCTCTCGCACCTAAGCGAGAATCATACCCTAGACCACCGAACCGCATATATCTGCTTGATTTTAGTAAACATCTACTTTTTTTTCCTACAAATATTTTCGTGCAACTATCGTTGTCGCGTGTCACGATAACCGCGGTCTTTTGAGCAAGTGATTCGCGCGCACAGACAAACCACTTTCAGACTTTTCATTAGTTATTCCGATTTAGTTTGTTCCGAAGAAGTTAAAGATAAACACGATTCATAAAACGAAAGGAAAAACTAGAGATTCATAAGAGAACTGTGTAATTTTTGAGTGTGTTCCTGTTTGACGGCATTTTGAAAGTCACGACGAACGCATCCCTGAATTCAAGGAACCACCAAAGAAAGAAACCGCCTTTGCAGGCACCGACGAGATTCGAACTCGTGATCTCCTGCTTTACCAGACAGGCGCTTTAATCAACAAGCCACGGCGCCGGACACGGACGAAAGTGGTCGCTCAACAATTGGACCAAAGGTCCCATGGAGAAATACGTCACTACACAATGGGAGACTACTACATCAGCTCCTCAAAGGGGCTTAGTAGAGTCATGCCACATGTAAATTCGTCTCCGTAAAAAATTAA